AACAAAAACCTACAAACCAAAGGGAAAAAAAAATCAAAAGCCCAACAGCCAGAGAGGACTGAGAAGTGTCATCCAATGTTCCATTCCTTTCCTCAGAGATGATCTTTAAAGCTCCAGGGACTGAGGGCTGGTTGCTGTAGGAGCCCCTCTTCTGAAAGGGKCCTTTAGGTTAGAAATTGAAGATACAAATTAAAGAAAAAATGTCTGGACATGTGAGGCAGCATCACACGTACTTTGTTTCCTGGTTTGATTGGATTTGATTTAATCTAACAAGTTTAGAACTKCAGTTTCGCTAAACATCTTGGAAGCTTTGGGTCACAGTTTCCCTCTGGCTGAAGCACAGCTGTGGGCAGGTGTGAGCCAGGGGCATTTTGGGTGCCCATTTCCCTGTGTTGCCATTAATGCCGTGCGGCTGCCCTGGAAGCTCATCAGGAAAGAGGTCTGGCTGAAAGGGAATCTGGTTTGTAGGTGGGAGAGAATTGGGTTAGATGGAATTYTGTGCCCCTCTTGGTGGCACCATGGATTTAGGCAGCTGTGAAACTTCAGCGTTGGTGTTCCCGCTTGGGTAACTTTCAGAACACATTCCTCTGCTCCAGTTTTCATTTTGATTTAATGGGATAGGAGTGACTGGAACATAATCCATTTAAAACAACACAATTACAGGAGTTTTTTAATGTATTGCCCCTTTTAGAATACCAAAGACCCTGTGTAAATCTGCAGGGAATTGGCATATATATATATTTTTTTTTTTTTGTATAAATATACTTGTGCAGAAGAATGAGTCTGCTCCTTTTTGGGGTCTGGGGCAGCTCCTCCTCAGTTTTGGGGTGTGTGTGTCTGAGACAGAGCGATGGTAATGGATGCTTCTTTTTCTTTTCACACTTTGAAGTGCCTGTTCTTTCTGCTGCAGAGTGCGAGTTAAAGAGCTGGAGCTGCAGAGGCGGCTGGCAGCGGTGTCAGCACGGCAGCAGCTGGCCCTGCGCAGGAACCGGGCTCTGCAGGAGCAATTCCTGCAGCTGGAGGCTCACATGGAAACTGCAGGCTGGGAGAGCATTCGGAAGATGGAAGTAACTTTCTATAAGACTTGATCATGGGTGTTTGCCGTTGTTTTGCAGAAATCTCTTGGTATGTCTTAGAGCTGGAAGCAAAATTGATCAGGGTCCGTGGTTCAGGTTGTAGAATGGATAGAGCTGAAGGACCTCAGATTCAAAAGATTGCTGTAAGAAAAAGCCAAGCCCTGAGAATTTCTTGAATCTCATTATTTTTATTATTACTGTTATCATTGTTATTATTATGTTGTCTTGCTGTTCCCCAAAGTACCATTTGGGATGTTGCAAAGTGATGATTTCAGATTTTTAAAAATGAAATTGCCGCAGATGCTTATGCCACAGATGCATGAGGCCCATTTTTTTGGGGAAGCACAATCTGGTAGGAATGTGTCTATTCCTCCTAAGAGCAGTGGCATTCCTCAGAAATATTTGGCTGTGTTTATTCCTCACACARCTCTTTCCCAGGTAGCTCCTGTTGGATCTGGTGACATTCCCRGTGCATCTTTTCCTGGCTGCCGTGCAGTAACCCTGAGTTCAGAGCCGGCCCCTGGGGTGTGTGATTCCCTGCCTCTGATTTGCAGTTGTTGTTTGAAGCAGAGCAGGAGAGGGGGCTGTGCTGTGGTGCCAGCTTTCCCCTGCTGTTTTGAAGGGTTTTTTTTTCTCAGCAGCCCAGGTGTACACCCATCTACCCAGTGTCCGGGCAGTGGTTCTGATGCCTGGTGTGAGTCCCAGTCACAGTGCCACACATCAATCTGCACGTGGGGTTTTTGTTCAGCCCTTCCATTTTGATATTCCTGTGCCATCCATTTTATCTTTGCCAAGTTACAGTTACTTTTCAGAGCTGCTGAGCAAATGACATCTCCTCCGTGTTAGTTATGGGAAGTAGGAGAGTTATGGAGCGTGCAATCATTTAATCTATCATGGGAGTACACAGAAAGAAATTATTGCTGTTTTCTCTCCTTTTTTTCCATAGAGAATGCCCTTTAGGAGTGCTTTATCACAACTCTGTGCACATTTATTACGTGGCTGTAGCTCACAAAACTCCTTTTGTTTCTGAAAGATGCACTTTCACTCCCTGTGTTTGGTCAGTAATTTTTAGGAGTATAAATAAATTCACTCCAGTTTTCATCAGAATCCAGGAGTTACTTCTAAGTTTCTTTTGAGCACCTTGAATCCTCTCATGGTGAGGTTTTGTTCCTTGAAGTTCCACGTTCACGGTTTCCTGAGCAGCCTCTTACCTGAGAGCTGAACGCGCCGCTGGAGTGAAGGGCAGCGCTGGGCGAGTTAATTGCGTTAAGGATTTATTTCCCTGCCGCAGAACAGGTCCTGGAGTGCTTTCAGCCAGGCTGCCCCGGTGTGTTGGTGGGGTTTGCAATTAGGAGCACGCAGGATTAATTGCAGGTGCTGCCTGTGTGGTACCCAGCCCCGCTCCCAGCGCGTTACCACTGCTCCATTAAACCCTGGAGTGGGGAGAGCCGGGTTTGGAGCGGCAAACATGAAACCTTCCCTGCTGGGCTGCTCCATGTAACATCTGCCAGAGATTGTTCCTCACAGCAGCTCAGCCAGTTATAAGATGGGGCATGAAAAACACATTGTGGAGCTCGTTTCATCCCAAAGCAGCCGAGTCATTGTCTGCATGCAGCAGCAATAATTCGGTGTTACAGATGCTGCTTGGGATGCAATAAATACAAGTCAACAAGTTATTGCTGTTCTGTAGGATTCTAAATGACGGGGATGAATAAATGTGTATTAAAGCCCTGCAGCAGATTGTGTACAGGCCACGCTGCTTGGGCGGGAGAGCGGAAAAATGAGGAGAAAATGAGATCTCTGCGTTTAAATACAGTCGGAGTTAAAAAGGCTGTGGGGACTTTGCATTTAAAGGTGCACATTTTGCAAAGTGCTGTCTCTTGGGTTGCGGGGGGTGGTTGTTTGGCCTCCAGTTTTGTGTGACGGATTTGTTCCCGTTTAGGAATGGTACGGAAGGGAAATTAAAAACCTTCGAGAGGGCAGCTTGTCAGCAGGAKGTGACAAGGAGGAAGGACCCAGCAAGCAGGTAATGGGGGGGAAAGGGGCTTTATTCCAGCGCCGTGCTCTCCTCAGAGCTGCGCAGCCTTTCCGTGGGGATTCCAGTGCTGGCACGTGCAGTGTGAAATTGTGTTTAGTGCCTGAGAGAAGGAGAATCACCTGGGTAAAAAGCGCAATTATTTCATCCAAAGAGCTGGAATTAAAAAAACTCTGACTGTTTATGCACGTCTTCTTGTTGGCTTTTATAATTCCTGCGCTGGATGGTGTGGAAATGGTCGTGACCGAGGAGGAAATGTTCCTAATGAGGGATATTTGCAGAACTGCAGCGGAGGAGCCGTGCGCTGTGTTTATAATTTTGTGTGTTTTGACCTTTTCTCAGAAGGAGCAGAAGGAGATTGCATATCTAAGGAACAGACAAAAAGACTGACAAGGAATACTTAAATATCTGCTGCCATGTATCTGCAGTAATGCAGGCTCCTAATCCCTCCTCCTATCTCCATATAAATGATACAGTTCAAGACCAGAGCTGTTTTCTCCACTAAAAGCAGCAAAGCTCTTTTAGATGAAATGTCTAAAAACATCTTGTAATAACTTGGAGCATGCTGGCAAGAGTAGTCACTTGTGACTGTGTGTGGAAGCCCCTCAGCCAGCCGGCGCCGGAATAGGCAGGACGGGAGCATCACTCCATTATTCCGAGGAGCCAGCAGCACGCTCGTCCCTTAGGCTACAGCATTCATTAAGGAAAGCTTACTGGGCTGAAAGCTGGGAACAGATGATAACGGGATATGATTTTCATATTTAATGCATTCCTTGGAAGAGTGTGTGTGCTGCAGATTGATAGAAGAATCAACTGCTACTTTACTAAAAGACTTTCTAGTTTGCCCTATAGCTACCGATGGAATCATTCAGCCAAGAAATTAACTTTTTCCCCTTTTACCTGCTTTATGTATCTGCTAAGCAGGCTGCTGGCTGCCAGGGAATGTTATTATGCAGTTAAATGTTTGGTATTTAAGACCCTTATCAGAAAAGAAACAGAGGCCACACTATTTTGTTTTTATAGTAGGAGGAAGGTTTTTGGTTTCCTTTCTTCAGTGCATTAGCAGTTGTTAATCTGAGTTTATAGGAAGTTTTCCCCATAGATTAAAAAGTTAAAAACCTTGAATTTAGAGCGTTCTTTAAACTATAATATACAAAGCAATGAACCCAAGCAGCCTTGACCTATATGGGCTGGCCTGCGGCAGGGTGCAAATTGCAGTTGGAATTGGGGAAAGGTGAGTTTATTTTGGAACATGAGTTGTCCAACTAGGGCAGGTGGTGTGGGAGATGGGATTTCCAATCGATGGAAAAGTTGACATCAATACTAAAGCATCAGGGCTTGTAGTATGACTTGGGGGTTTAAAAACTGTGGGCAGGTTTTGGTCAGTATGAAAGTGTGATGTGAACCCAAAAATGTCATTTTGTATAAAATAATGGAGTTGACTGGGGACTCCTTTATCCCCTGTCCTCTTCCTTCTCATCTYCCTCCTAAAATACAGAGGTCACTTCAGCTAATTCTGCATCTTTTGTTGTGTCCTGAGGCTGTGTTTCAGCTCTTCATTCTGGATGTTTTTCTCTTCAAATCTCCTGGTTCTTATGKCCAAAACACAGGAGTTTCTTCTCAGAGATGTGGCATTGAGTCAGTCACCCAGAGTATGTGCAGTCAGATGTGGGATGCCCAGGATGCAGCTCATGGAACTGGTTTAATTCACCAGCACAGGGATTGGGATGGCCTCCTTCAGGCTGGTTGGGATGCAGTGACTGTGTGATGACCCCTTTGGTGACATCTTGAGGTCCTTGGGGACCCAGAAGGACATCCCAGAACCAGTCTTCTACAGATGGGTAGGATCCCAACAGCATCAGGAATGTCTGGTTTGTCCCTGAGCCGTGGGATATGTGCCCTTTTGGGCTTCCAGTTTCCAAGGGAGTCCTTAAACTCAGAAGCCCCACACTGAGGAGATCCTTCCCAGYTGGCAGAGCTGTATGCCCAGGCTCCTGGATCCTCTGTGCTGTGAAGCTCTTCCTTGAAGCCTTCAGAAGATTTTGGACTCAGGCATGCTGGAACCTCCCAGGAGCACCCATGGGTGGCAGAGCCCCTTCCCTTGGAAGGGTATCCGTTAGGGATGTGTGCTGTGCTTGTGCCTCTTTGAAATCCATTTGTTTTGGAACACTGCATCCAGGAGCTGCCAAAGCCATTCAGGACTGGCAGGAGGCATTAGAAASCACCAAATCCAACACTGGAGAAGTAATTAGGAGGAACCTGAGAGCAGTGGTGATGGAATAAGCYGTGAACTTAATCTGAATGGCAAACCTTTACTCCTACTTAAAATAACTTCATGGCTTTTTGTTCTGCTCCTTGTTACRTGGAATTTGAGCTTTTTAAAGGAACCTTGGTCACACACCAGACAAGATGCCTTTGTTTCCTTTCAGCTGGGCTTGGCAGCTGACTTTGTGTGGGAGGAAGAGGTCAGGCAGTGAAAGCGAGGGGAGAGGTGTGGGGGTGACTGTAAATTGTCCTGCTGGGATTTGGGGCTGGAGAGGAAGCCTTGCTTAGTGTGAACAATGGCATTAGGATGGCTAATTTTGGCTTTGCCTAAACTGGCGGTGACCCTGCAGTGGTCGTGGTGGCAGCAGCCACTCCTCTTAAATTGTCCTGATTGAGTAGGTTTGCAAAGAAAGGGAGGCAAGTGTTAAGACACTGGGATTTAGCAGCAGAGTGGTTGTACTCCTGGAGCTGTCTTTGTGCAAGTTCAACAGTCCTTGGAGGAAAGTGCAATTTAAAATATGTCTGCTCGGTGTCCCATATCACCTGGTGGGAAAGGTGATGTCACTGCCGTGGGAAGAGCTGGAGTGAGACAGTGAGAAATAGAGTTTTGCCTTTTTCCATGAAGGAAGGGCAGCTGGATCTRTGAATCAGGGAGTGATTCACCTATGGGACACGATGGTCCCTCTGGGCTTTGTGGCCTTGGTGGGCAGCTCTAAATGTGCTTTGGTCTGGAGTCTCAAAAGCCTGTGTAGGATCCTAATCTTAAAGGGTTGCCTCTCTGTAAAATCCAGTCACCATTTAGATGAGTTTGAGTCCTTGGTGTGTTTGGGTCCCTTCTGGCTRGGCTGGGGGTGCAGGGAGCTTCTGTCCCTGGGTGTTTTGGCTCATGGAGATCCAGTGGAGGGCTGGGCCCTCATTTCACGCTAGGATTCATGGAACGTGTGCTGTGGTTGTGTAACATTAATGCTATAGCAAACACTTGAATTTTCTGACATTCTGCTCTCCAGAGTCCAGCATGCCACCTTCGAGCAGCTCCACTTGCCACAACTGTTTGTGTCCTGTTTGTCTCCTTCAGCCATGTCCTGCTGTGTRTTCCAGGTGCTGCAGGCTGTAGGATGGGTGGGAATTGGCACCGAGACAGCCATGCCAAGAGGACTGGACCATCCASCCACAGCCTCAGTGGGCTTCTCCACATCAGCTACCTCAGCCACAGGAGGTTTGGAGTCCCAGCAGGACCCCCGTACATCCTCCCCATCCCCTGAGGGGCTCGGTACCAAGACAGGGAGCGCTGCTGGAGAGAGTGAGGAGGGAGCAGCAGGACACGGGGACCTGTCTGCCAGCGAGGAAAGCTCTGAGCAGCTCATCTCAGCTTCTGGTGCCAAAGCAGCTCCCTCCCAGCAGGGACAGCGGCAGGGAAGTGTTCCAGGTATGGCAATGGGATGTGTCCCTGTCTGCCTCCATCCCAGCCAGAGCCTTAYCTATGGCTGTTGTTTGTCCTGCACCTCTGGCACCAGGTTTGGAGTGTGGTGGCCCTTACTCCTTTTTTCTCTCTTTGTTTCTTTCTTCCTTTCGACTYCATTTCCTCCCAGGCCACTCACCCAGACTTGGAAGGGCGTGCTGGGGGCTAATCCTGGTCAGGGGCACTGTTAGGRAGGATCTCCTCACTGCTGTGCTCATGGAGGCCCTGGCATAGTCTGAGTCTCATCTGAAGAGATTTAGTGTGAACCTGTCTCACCAGAGGAGTCACTTCGGGTTTAGGTTGATTCCCTTCACCCTCAGAGCTGGTGCAGAATAGCTGATCCATTTTCAGACCTGGATTTGGTCATGTAGGTGGGGGATCAGTCTGGAAAGCCCCTCGATTCTGCTGCATCCCCATTTCCCAGCAGGCAAAGGAATTGGTTTGTTGCACATCTTTGCTCCACAAATTCGGACACGAGGCCCTGGTGTAGCTCCTGTTGGGCACAAACCTGGGGTGATTCAGTCCCACTGAAACTCCATGACAGAGCCAAGCAGGAATGCTGGGGGCTGTGCAGAAGCCAGTTAATTTAAACCCAAGGTGAATTTTATGGAAAACTGAGTATTTCTGTAGCAATCCCAATTTGCTACGACACTGGCTGGTCCACTAACTCTTGGCAGTCTGTGAAAAGCCGGCAACAAATCTTTGTCATCCCAATTCAGCCCATGTTCTCCTCTCAGAGCCTCTAGGCATGTATGCCTGCTGAAAGGTTTAAAAAATGGGTGCAGTAGGAGCCTCTTGGGGTGCGCTTTTTTTTAGCCTAAGAGAAGATTTTTCCAGCTTCTCTGTCTTGAWTTCTCCAGATCTGATTTGGTAAGGCAGCTGGTCTCTGTGCCGGGATGGTTTTTGAGGAGTTCCGGGTTTGTTCCCAAATCCTAAGGGCTGCAGCCTTCCGGTACTCCCCCTTGTGAGAGCAGTGTGGAAGGACAGGGGTCATGGGCAGGGAAACCCACAGCCAAGGGGAGAGGATGAATGAATGGATGGATAGATGGATGAATGGATACTCCCTCACACGGGCTGAACAAGTAGTGTGGGTTATCTTGGTTTCATTCCCTACACTATGATCTACTCCATGGTCGTACTGTGTTTTGAGAAGAATAATTATTTGGTTTATATTTTTGTTGCATTATTTTTTATTGTAATTCCAGGAGCAAAGCCTGGCCTGAGCAGCTTGTGGACTCGCAAGAAGGGGAGCAGTGCAGAGCTCCCGATCCCTGCTAGTGCCGAAGAGGAGGCAGTGCCAAGCGTTTCCAGCACACAGAGGGAGCAGGGTGGGGATGCCCAGGCTCCAGAGGGCTCCCCGCTGCCACCATGGAGCCCTCCCACAGCCCAGGGGGAGCCCTCGGACAGCTCAGCACCACAAAGGTACCACTTCCCTGTTTTCTGGATCAGCTGGGCTGCTCAGGGCACCAGAGCTCACACGRACTTCTCCCCTACCCTTTAGTCCCTGGTACATGTGCTGGGGTTCAGGGGCTTCAGATGCCTCACTGGGATYAGAGCTGGCAAGTGAACGATTTGTTGTTAAAATGCAGATGATGTTCTTTAAATGTACACAAATCTTGCTCCAAGGATTCTGCTTGGTAAAACTTCCTGTGGGTGAACTTTTTGAGCATTTTGGGAGTAGAGTAAGAGAGAACGAGGACGGTGTACTGCAGACACAGGGCCTGTCCTTTGCTGCCATGTGACAGAGGCAGGATTTTTGGCTGACAAGTGCAGCRTCAGAGCATCGGCTGTAAATCCATCCCAGACGGATTTTCGGCCCCGCAACGCCCTCATGAGACAGGGAAGTGCATCCCTGCCTGGCAGGGCAGTGCCCACCATGAGGCTGTCCTGGGGCTAGCCCGGGTCACCTGGGAGGGCTGGCAGGTGTTAGTGGGACATCGGGCAGAGACCACCGACAAAGGAAACAGTGCTTTTATCCCAGGAGAACATGTGTTTTCCCATCTTGGTTGTTTGCAACTTTTAACATCGGTTAATGTCTGTTCTTCCACCATTCCTGGGTGCAGTGGTCTTGGTACTGACTTTAGTATTGGTTTGGGTGTTAATAGATGGCACCTGAGCAGAAACTGGGGGCCATCAGCAGACACTTCTGTAACTTTATCCTTTCCCATTTGCATCGGGCTGTTGCTTGCTATGGAAACATCATCTAATTGATATGTAAATAGCTTTCCCCTAGTTTTCCCTTTGTATCCCACCTGTTAATCACAGCAGAGCGCCCGTCTCTGCGAGAGGAGTCAGAGCTGAGCGCCAGCAGTTTAACCTTGTGTTCCCTCCCCTGCGAGGCCTCGCTGTTCAGCGCCTGATGAGACGTGGAGCAGCTCTCGAGGCGCGGGGAAATTATACACACAAGGTTTGAGCGCCTGCATTGTCCCCGGGGCATGGCTGGAACCACGGCGCAGAGCTCTCCTCCCATTATGCCAAGCTGAATGCCTYTGCTTCTCAAGGCCATGGAAGTGGGATCACCACTGCTTGCTGGTTCTGCAGAAAAGATACAGATTTTAATTTGCTTTACCTGCAAATGAAAAGGCAGATCAACCGGCAGGAGTGTGGGAACAGCCGTTCCCTTGTTGCGCTCACAGCCAGGTGAGCTTTCCAAGGCACCTGGAATGCAGCGTGCACACTTCAGCTTTGCAAAATTAATGAGACAAAAATCTTGTGGAGAAGCTTGCAAGTGATTAGTACATTAATTTCAATTGTATAAGTTACACAAGCTATRGGAATGCAGCTTTCTTTGGTCTGTCACAGCATGGATTCACAACATGCAATGTCCCTCCAGCCCCTGTGGTTTTCTCTTGTGAAATTCCTGTGCTGAAATTCGCCARATTCTGTGTATTTGTTTCCTTAAGCTGAAGTATCTGTAGCTTGGACTCTTCCTCTGGAGCAGTGTCACTGTGGCATCAAAAGGAAGCACTGTTCATACACTTTTGGTGAATTACCTGAAATGAGATAATTTCAGCACCAAGGGATGGTGCTGAAAGGAGCAGAGACCATGACTGACTCCAGAGGCAAAACTAATCGTTGCTGTATGCCAGTGTCAGGAAAATTAATCCAGAAGCACCAGAGGTTTATGTCCAAAAAGGAGACAGAAGGAGACCTGCAACTTTATTCATGAATAAAGCGAGAGATCATGGGCATTTCCCATGGAGTCTCTCAAATTGCTGGAGGACGCAGCCTTTTATCCCAATTTCCTGGCCGCAGTTCTCTCTCTCTTTCCGCATTGGCTGAGGTACTTTAGAGGTACAGGCTCCCCAAAACACCTGATTAAACCCCCCTTCTATCATATATTGCCCCCTTTCAATATACATCTCTGTGTCTCTGCTCTTGTARTCAATTAACATAGTCTGGGGTAAGTCAATCAGTGGAATTTCTATGGAAATCCTTCCTATTGTTTTCTTCTATTTCCCAGTATCAGCCTTATCTTACCCCCAGAGTCAGTTGTTTGTAAAGACACTGCTTTCTCATTCCTTTCACCAGGAAGTCWCAAGTTTTCATCTTTGGAGAAAATGCCTCTCCTGTCTTACTGCAGAGATACCAGTCTGTGTTTTTGAAGGAGTTTGGGTTTTTTTTCCCTGCAGTGAAGTGTTGGCAACCAAGGAAGGGGGATGTTGCCGGGAAAGGCAATTCAGCAGAAGGTTTGCATCTTGTTACAGGTCGCAGTATAGGGTGCTGCAGCTTTGCTGCCTTAGTTATCAAAAATGAGGATTTTTGGGAGATAACGTTGGTGTTCCAGAGGCTACAGGCCAGGGGTGCAGATCAGAGGCTGCGCTGTGATGTGTTTTCTGTTCAGCAGTTCCCCCAGCCCCTGGGGGCTTGCTGGGTTTGTGAAGGCTCCTGGTGTCCCCACCCTTGGAGTTGCTGATCCAAGGGGAAAGGCTCTGTGTCCTCTTACGATTCCCTGCAGCACCCAGCCCTTTCTTTGAGGGCTTAAACCTGGGGGGCGAGAGGCGGGGGGAGAGGGTCTCTGAGAATTAGTGTGGAGAAAGATGATGACTATTTTAAGGCCTGAGCTGAGGGGGTGGAAAAAGGCAGAGCTTATGCCTGTGCTGCTTCAGCTGCATTGAGGAGGACTTAGCACAGATGGATTGTGCATTACAAAATGTAACACATAATTCAAGCTGTCAGCTTAATCAGACTGTTTCCAGGAAGCAACCTGTAAAAGAGAAGGACCTCTTGTTTGCTGACCTCTGATCCGTAGCCTGCTGCAGATTGTCATACATTTTGTTTTTCTTTATGTTGGTGTCCCTTCCTTCCCCTTCCCTTTTTATTATTGTATCCCTCTCGAGTGGCACCCTGGAAGGACCACCCAGCGGGAGGAAAACAATGGGAAACRAGCCGGCCGCTGGAATACAGGGTTTGTAAGGCTGGGGGAAAAGAGAAAGCACTGTTTAACTGCCTGTGTGATCTCCCTGGCATTGTTTTGCTTATTAAATGTCTAGGAAACTCGACTAAAGGCACGGCAGCCCCCACTTAATTGTTCACTGTTGCCCAACACTCCGAGGGAAAACAGCTTTGGGTATGGCTCAGCACGAGTGTGAAAATGCTGCAAGTTTTGTGCACAGAGCTTCTCCCTGGAGGCAGAGTACGCYAGGGTTAACTGTGGAAACATGTCAGCTCCTGCATGTGGGGAAAAGAAAGAAAACTCTTTTGCCCCAGCTGGGGTGTTCATTGCTGCTGGAGACCTGGGCTGAGAACCCCACAAAGTGGCAGCCGGGGACCTGAATAGCCATTTACACCTCTGTCCCGGGATTAGCCCGCGGCATTGTTTCAGTGGTTAAGTCCTYATTTGCATCATTATAGAGGTGCAGCCTCATCAAAACTCCTCTGAGGTCCCAGGGCTGTCCCCATACCTGTAGGTGGTCACCAGATTTGTTTCGATTGTGGAGGTGAAGGAATTAGTGCGTGGCACAGGGGCACTTTTCATGCAGAGGCTCAGCCCGGGCTGATTTTTGGATGGTTTGTTTGCTCGTGTGTTTTTTTTTTTCCTCCTTCCTACAGAGCTCAGAAACGTGGTTTCTGCTGTTTGCTTTGGAAAGCCCAAAGCAGGGTGTTTGTTTTTCCAGGACGTGAGATGGGAATGCATTGCCAAGTCCTGTCACACGTCAGCTCTCTCCCAGCCCTGTCTGTCCATCCACAGGTGCCGCGGGACGCTGGCCGACCTCTCGGAGCTCTACCGTGTGCTGCAGCTCATGGAGGAGCTGGTGGAGACGATGAGTCCCAGGCATCGGGTGCTGTACCAGGGCCAGCCCTCAGGGACAGYGGAGCTGCCCAGGTGAGTGGGTGGAGCCCAGGAGACAAATGGCTCGTGCCAGAAAAATGGAGTAATTGTAGTAAGTGAGCAAAGGGAATCACCAGAACTCGAGTGTTGCCAAAACCAGGGACAAAGAGCCCTCCCTGTTTCTCCTCAGCCTTTGGGCCCTTAGGTACAACACCTGGGAATTGTTGGGGACTTTATTGAYAATGATGCACAACTCCATAGGCTGAGATTCTTGGGGGCCCTGGATATCGGAGGATTCCTGGGGACTAATGCTGAGGGCCCCTAAACAGACCTGCCCCCTGCCTGCTTCGGAGGAGGTGTGCACAACTTCCCTCTCCCTGGGAGGCTGTGCCTGGCACATTCCAAGTGCTGAGTGTGATGTCCCWGTCCAGCCCCACAGTCCCACATCTGTCCCAGAGCAGCACGGATGTTTGTCCCTCTGGCTGTCCCGTCTCCAGGCTGAGGCTGGCTGGGATGAGCTGTGCTCACGGGCCTTGTCTCCCCTGCTTTGTGTTGCAGTGGGRCCGGCGGGCTGGCCCAAGGCGACCTTGAGGCGATGGAAGCCGCGGTGCTCTGGCAGCTCCAGGCCTTGTCCCAGCGCAAGCGGAGCGGGAGCGTCCCTCTGGAGAACGCCGGCGGGGCTGCGGGCAGAGCGGGGTGCAAGGAGCACAGCAGCTACAGGGACACAGGACTCACTGCGGGGTGAGGAACATCCTTCTGTCTGCCCCCGGCTCTGGGCTGCCCTCTGGTGCCGAGGCAGCCGGGCTCAGCCAGGCCTCCAGAACACAGATCCTTGTGTGACACGCAGCTCTCGGCGCAGGAGCATTCAGGAGTTAATTCATTTCCCTGTCATTCCCCAATGGTGACTCCGGCTCCATATCCTGGGGTGCCCCAGCTCATCCAGTCTGCAGTGTCTCCCACCCCAGGCCYCTCTGGCAGTCAGGGAATTGCAGGAACTTCATACACCTCTCAGCCAGTCATTCCTGGGATCTGCAGCATGAGTCTTGGGCGTGGAGGGACAGAAAATGTAATTTTGAGAAGGAAATTATTTTGTGTGAGACAGGAGATGCACGTGGCCTTTAAAAGCAACAAAGTGCCATTATTCAAAACAGTGTGGGTTTTTTTTCCCGTGCATATGCCACAAGGACAAGTGAGAATTACTTTTTTTTTTTAGGTCTCTTTAACACAGGAATGAAAAGATTTTCCATTCTGTCTTACTTAGCTTCTGTCTAGACCTCCCTCCCCATCGCAGGCTCCGCAGTGCTCAAGTGCTGGCAGGATCGGGGCACTTGTGAGCACTGCAGAAGGGTCTCTCTGCCGGTACCCGCCTCTCCTGCAGAGGCTGATACGCGCCTGCCAGCACTAACATCTCCTTGTGTCTCCTGAATGGTTTCTTAGGGACAAACACTTGTGGAGTTAATTGGAATTCACTCCTCTGAAACTTCACTGGAGCAACTGGAAAAACAAACATCTTTGGCAAACAAAAGGATTGCAGGATTGAGATTTTCTGCATTAAAAGACACCTTTTTTAAATTTTTCCTTTTCCCTTTTTATTCTTTCTGAGCAAAAGACAAGCCTGGGGTCGTGAGTGCCTGACTACGCCCCATGAGAGCAGGAATGTAGGAAGAGTGTTGTATCTTTGGATCCTGAGCCTCAGGATAGGGCTGATACCCCTGCCCATCTTCCCCACATTTGCAAAAGTCACAAGTGGCTTCTTAATTTTCCACTTTGAACATCTTTAAAAAGAGAAAGTGGGAATTAAGGACCAAATGGGCGATGGCTTTTCTCAGCACGTGTTGACCCCTGTGTGGGTGGGGCATTTCCACTGACTGTGCCGGTTTGTTCCTCAGGGATGCAGAGGCGCTGCGGATTCGCCTGAGCGACCATGGCTTGTTCCTGAAGCAGCACCGGGTTCAGCTTCCGGAGAGGGTGGCAGAGATGTTCGAGAAGCTGCTGGCTCCAGGCATGGAGGAGCAGGACAGCCAGGTGGGCACTAGCACCCCGCGATGGGTAAATCAGGGCACAGGAGACTCCTCTGCACTGTTATGGCTGTGCCCTGGCAGGGTGTGGCCTTTGGTGCAAGGACAAGCAATCTGGGGTTGATCAGTCCTGGGTCCTCAGGGAACAAWGTCCACTGCTTCATCCCACAGGAAAAGGAGCTTTTTAAGGTCCCCACCCTTCATGCCAGTGAGGCATTGGAATGAACTCACCCCTTTGCTCTGGTGCAAATYGTCATGAGGCTTCTATCTTTGACTTTTCTGTGACTTTTTATCATGAACGATGTGTTTTACTTTTTTTAAGCAGAGTGAGGTTTGGTGCTAAACACAGCATTTTATAAATGGTGGCACACTCATGGTTTTTCTAAGTTAATGCAAAAGGCTATAGCCAACTTTTTAAGTAATAAATAAAAATGGCATTCTGTAGGCTGCAAGTGCCTCAGCCTCTTACTGTATTAAACAATTGTTTTACTAAACAGTGAGATAGTTAGGGCAGAACATTCAGGAGGTTTTACAGACTCAAGTCCACTTTTTTGTCCCGAAACAAGCCCCTGAGGGACACCCTAGAAGTAAGGTAATGAAACATCTAACAGAAACACCTTGAAAGCACATTACCCTGTGGAGTGTAGAGTAGCCTAAATGTGTATTGGAAAATGCTTGAGGGGGAAGATAATGGAGCTGTGGCTGTTTTTGTTTTTAATGCTCAGGCTCTGCCAGCCCTTCCAGGAGAGCGTGGAGATAGGTCACCTGTCGAGGGTGATGAATCCTCTCTCAGCTTGCTTTCGACCCCGACCAACATCAAGAGAGGAAAGCAGGTGGAACTGGCGGGGAGAGAACCAGGTAATGGGTGTTCCTGCTCTGGCTGCCACTCCAGGTTCCTGCTCTGGGCATAGGGGTGTTCTGTCCAAATACCCAKGGGACTGTGATGCAGCTATTGGCAGATCAATGTACATTTGTAACARATTTGGGGGATTTTCCTAAACAGCTTGGTATTCTGGTTACTTCCCAAACTAAGTGATGCCTCTGGTGGCAGGTTTTTCTGCAGGAGAGGAAAGGCCAAGCCCTGTGGCCACTRTGGAATGGATCTATGGGTTTTGTGTGCATGTTTACAAACATCTCCCCTTTAGGAACTGGGGGGATTTGCTGCCTTTTGTGACAAAGCCAGACTGCAGAAGGAATTGCCAAATTGTTTGTTTTCCAAATCCATTGGGTCTTCAATTCCTCAAGATGTTTGGTTGGCTTGTCCTTCTCTGAGGAAGCTACAGAGAGGCAGGGTGGCAAGCTCCCAGTGGGCGCTGCTTTTAAGAGCAGTAATGGATAGTTTAGATCAATAAACAAGAGATAACAAAAGTGGGAAATTAAAGGGAGTAGGGCTTAAAAGCAAACAAACCAGTGTGATGGMTGCTGCTTTGAAATGGTTTCATTACGGCGTGTTCACATCCAGAAGTCACAGGCTGGTGTGAAGATGAGAGCGGGGAAGAAAGTGTGGTAGGAAAGATTCCCATTACAGGTAGAAGGGGTGGCTGCATATTAACCTCGGGCCCAGCTTTGGACTCGATTATAGAATCAAAGCCCGGCRGCTCAGTGCCGCGGGGCAACTTCAGAGGGAGTCGGTTCAGCCGCTCACACTGAGCGCAAAGATTAAACCTCCGATCACAACGTCCGCGCTCACGGTGGCATAAACAAGGATGGGGAGCAGCAGCGCCTCTGTAATTCCTTGTAATCATGTTCCACATTTGCACCGTGTGAATATCCTCTCCTTGAGCCCTTCGGGGCTCGCTGTCAGTGTTACAGGGGTCAGTCTCCGTGGGGAAGATCCAGTAATTATATGGCAAGCTATGGATGTTTCTGGTTTGATTCCCTCTGTGAGTAATTGACTGGGGATCATTAGAATGAGCGTGGGGCAGGTCCCTGCCAGACAGGAGCTGTGCCTGTGCCAGCCAGGAGCCACCTCTCCGCCTCCTGTACCAAAGCTGCCTGATAGCAGTGGCTCCCTYCAGCCAGTGCCATCACTGAGACTGTTTTCCCAAGCAGAATTCCAGCTCCTGGATTTGGATCTCAGTAACTGTCCATGGATTTGCTTTGCTTCTCCCTGCCCTGAATTTTTATGACTTGTCAATCCTGCTTTTAGGCACAATTTGTCATTTGAGTGTGTTGAGGAATTCTCTGTTGCAGACTTTCCAGGACCCTGCAGGGCCATTCAGTGTCAGTCAGCCAAGAGCCAAGCCCCAATGGGCACCCGCCTTCCTGACCTTTCCTATATGCAAGAATGCCAAGAAGCTCCTCGGGCAAACCCAGTAACTCCAGTTTCAGCCCATCCCTTCCAAGGGAGCTGTCTTTGCTGTTCCTCTGTCTCCAGGAGTGAGGCTTCTCACACCTCACTTGAAAGCCAAGCTGCTCCTTTCAGACACGATTCCTCTTTAGCCCATGATCTTCTCCAGGCTCCTTGTTCTCCTTCTGCTCCTCTCCCTGCCAGGCAGCTGCTCATTCCTTTTTATCATCACCATTTGCTGTGGCTCTGGAGCGCTGGAATTGTTATGGGCCTAAAATAGAAGCCACATCTCTGCACRTTGGCTTTTGGGCTCAAACAACTTGGTTGTTTGCTGTATGACTTTTTCTGAGCTCAAGGAATGCAACTTTGGGGTGGTTTTTTGTTGGGTTTTTTTTTTTCATTTCAGTATTTGCTGCATTCCTAAAGTGTTTGATTTGAAGCTTTCTGGGGCTTTGGGGCTTGATGGACTTCACCGTGAGAGCTGTGTGGATGCACTTCCAAGCAGTCTTTAGTATGGCACTTTGGGAATGCTTCTGRAGTTTTGGTTCATTTTTCTTTCATTTCTGTTACATAAAAAGAGAATCAAAATATTTATTTGCTTTCATATTCTGTAAATATTCCAGAATTATTTGTGTTGGTTTTTTAATGCCCTGTTCAGAGCTCCTGGAAGGCTGCCTGTGGATAATGGGCTTTAAAGGGATCATACCTGGTGCCCGGCTAGYCCAGAGAGGAGCTGGCTGATAACAGCAATCTCCTGTGATCCCAGGTTATGTGAGGATACAGGGCCAGGCCTGGGCTCATCCTCATCTCCTCCATGGATGCACTGTTTTTTATCAGGGAAAGACACGTAAAAGAAATTGTYCAGCTCTTCAGCTGTTCCTGAGGTAGGCGAATAATGTGAGATTAAAAAGGATAAAACCCATTATTTCTTGTTTTGCTGGATGACTGTATAAGAGTCTCATTTATRAGTAGGAAATTGCTGATTTTATTGAAGGGGCAGGTTTGTTAAATCTTTAACAAAACCAGATTCTCTCCCTTTCACTTACGTCTTTGATTTAAGCAARCGTTAAGGCTGTAGAGGATTTGAATAAAAATGGCATGACTGCTCCACTCGTTGGGCTCTGCTTTTACAACATCTGGAATGTCACCCCCAGCTACTCTCCAGCTATAAAATCTCCAGTGTAGGAATAAGGAGGAAAAGCCCTCTTAAGAAGAAGAAATTAGCCCTTCTTTATATATCCTACAGGAAAATGAAACAGCACAAGCCCAATTCTGCTTTCTTTTTAGGTCACCTTTAATGAGCTAACAATCCTGCCACCACATTTCCCATGCCCAGGTGTCCTTCCTGGTGAGGTCCTCCTTTGAGCATTCTGAGGTTCTACTAGTAAGGGCACCCAGCTTCTYCCTCTGTTTGATATAGTTTGATATGTTTGGGATGAAGAAAGTTCCTCAGGACAGCACCAACTCGGACACTGCACTTGGGTCGGGCTGGATGATGCCCTCTAGCAGCTCATCATTGATACCTGAGTTCCGAAAAGATCTTGAAATCTTTCTGGAATTGTGAATTCTGGGTGAAAATCCTTCATCCATCTTTTAGCAGAGGCAGCAGCAKCTTGAATGCTGGATTTGGGAGAGGCAATACCATAAGCTGTGGTAGATCATGGCAAGGGCAGGTATTCTTTTATTTTTCCATCTTTTTTTTCTTTCTTATTTTTGATTTCTCTTTCCTCCTGGTCAAGCTCTGGCACTTCTTTGCTGGAAGTGTCTGAGGCTGAGCAGGATTTGTGCTGCTGCAATTCAARTGCAGAAAGGACTGGGACAGTCAGAGGTGCACAGCCAGTTAGGAAGTGGAGAATCCACTGACAGAAATACTGAATTTTCCTGGGTTGGGACATTGGTGACAGCAGGGCTTGGTTATCGTTTCAGTGCTATAGATAAATATATATATATATACACACATATATATATATAAAATATATATGCAAAGCAGCCTTTTAAAGTGGGATTTGTGCTTRAGCATCGTGTGCTTTGGAAACGAATACAAAGATGAGCAATTGTCTGACTCCAGTGAATGAATCCATTTGCCTCTTTCTTTTTTTTTAAATCAATCTTTACAGCATGGAAATGAGATCCACAGAACAGGGGGAAGGGGAAGAAAGGAAAGGGTTGATAAAAGGTTTTGAAATAGTTGGGTGTTTGGCTGTTTAAGTCATAAAAATTTCAAGATACATGTTTGATTTGATTTTTATAGAGTTTATTTATTACTGTATAGTAATTTGTTTAATTCAAGAGAGTGGTTGAAAACACAGAGGTATCAAATAATWTTGACAGAATTGTAGCATTCCAAAATAATCTACATTTAAGGGAAAAGGGAAGAAAACCTTTCTGATTAAAATAAATAGGAACTGAAAAAAAGGAGTAAAAAGACTCYATAAATCCTTTAAGTTTTGCTATGATGCAAAGAGCTCTGAAGAGAAGCTCCATGTTTGCCCCTTTCCTAAAGCAAGGTAAAAGGTGCAAAACTTGCCCAGTTTCGAAGAAATCACCATAATGACTTAATTGCTGGGGAGGAAATATTGTTTTTGTGGTTTTAACTGATTTCCACTTAATGTGGAGCAGCCRATGCTCCGCTCTAACCATGCTCGTGGCTGTACCAGGCATCTCCTGGAAAACTGGAGCCAGTGGCATCACTCTCTGGCAGAGTATTGGAAAGTTCATAGTCCCTGTTTTTCCTGCACAGGTCGGGATCGTGGCCACGACAGTCCCAAAGGAAGTGACAGCCTGGAAACGCATTCAAAAAGCAGCTCCTCATTGGATGGAAGCGCTCCTCCCTTCTCCAGGTAAAGCTGTGACATTGGAAATTATTCYGGGATTGAGAAACCTTGACAGAAGAGGGCTGAAATTCACACAATTAATTTTTTTACTTGGGACTAAAGTTGGTGTTCCTGTAATTCAAACACTGGAGGTTTGGACCACCTCAGGTTATGAGCTCCTTCTGTGTCCATGACACGGATCTTTCTGGCTGCTGTGGGTGAGGCCAGTTCCAATTCTGCATTTGCCGTTAAAATCACAGAATTTCTATAATTCGAGTACAGTAAATACCCAACATCAATGAYTGGTGTTCCTGCTTTTGTCTGGGATTCTTACCATTTTAGATTCAATTTTTTTCTCTTTTTATATTTTCTGGAACTTTGAGAACGATGAGCCACGTTATCCACCTWGTGCTATAAAATGCAAGGGTGTTCCTATAGATGAATTTTTGAAATGTTACATGCTAGCCCTTCCCTGAAGCCTGGGACAGCAGGAAGAACAGGATGGGGCCCTGAGAACTCATTTACAGGATCACTGCAGCTGAACGTRTAATTTCAAATTTAACTATTTTTCATTTAGAATCTCTTCAAGCTAAACCCCGCTGCTGCTGCACTGCTRGCTAATTGTGCTTGCAGCCACTTCTGCCTTGGTTAGATGCTGTACAGTTTTTTTTTTTTTGGTTTGCTTTTTTTTTTTCTGAATTGCAATTTGTAATACATTTCAAATACTTCCCTCTGGTCTGTAATTCCAGGCCTCTCRGTGCTCAGCAGCAGCACACTTTGTGCAGGAATATGTGATGATGCTGCTTTAGAAACACAACGTAATAAATCTCTTAGTCAGTGTAAGAGATAGTTTTTCTAAATGGCTCAAACCGAGTGCAGCCTTCCCAAGGTGGGGTTTGGGAGCAGCCCTTGGCTCTGRCTGCCCGGAGAGCGGCTCAAGGAGGAGGAAGAGAGAGAGCTGTTTGCAGCCGGGCCGTGCAGCGGTTCCTCGGCGCTGCAGCTCCGCTCCCGGCAGCCACTCCTCAGGCTTTATTGCTTTCACAAGTGGTCTCAAACCCACTACTTGAGAATAAACATCCCTGCGAGCTCGGCCGTGGCACTTTATAAATTCTCCTTTGCCGCGTTTTGTCACTGAGCTGATGAGTGACCTCGGCACAGACCCCGCCGGACCGGAATAAAAACCGTGGCTCCTCTGATGTCCCCCAGACAATAATTATCATGTGCCAGTTAAGCCCAAACTACAGCTGAGGGATTTTACTTTAAAGCGGAGGCTCGGGCGCAAAAATGCATTTATAGCTCTTTGTCTGGCACCTCATTATGTGTGGGCCTGATTCATTAAGTAATTGGTTTGCAGTTGTTTACATGAGTATTAAGGCTTTCTATTCAGCAGCCTTTGAGATACACATTGTGCAAATGTTGCATGTTATGAATGCGGAATGAGGGGCCGGGGCCCGGCCCTATTGGCTAAACACTGCGCGCTGTTGAAAAGCAAGAGAAAGAGATTGGGTGCTGCTTTGCATAGCAATGACTTTCTTAATAAGCTTTACAGATTGATACACACAAGCTATAAAAGATGCAAAGAGATACTCTTAGCACATTTATCCATGCTCGTTTCACTATTATGGGCCTGGAGAAGGGAAGAATTGAGGGCTTTCATACTCGGGTTTTCAGTGCGTGTCTTCAGTGCATGAGACTTAATAGAATCCGATGTTTATTGTATTATAAATCATGGGGAAGTAGGCAGATCTGCAACAGTTTATTATTAAAGATTCTTTCAATGTAAATCTTTTTCTGCCATTGTATTTCCTACAGCAAAATCATTTTGTGGTTGAGTGGGGATGAAAGGCATAATGTACGACGGAGTGAGTCTTAATAGGAAGCTGCTCTCCGAGTAAAGACCACTTGTTCCCTTTTGTTCGGCGGTGCATGCCAGAGCTTCCTCTTCTCCTGCAAATGCCGCCTGCTCTACCTTCAGCGCAAAAACTGCTTTTCCGGGGCTCCTTTACTTYCCCGGGGGAATATTTCCACACACGGAGATGCACCTTTGGTTGGGGTGTTAGGGTGTTGCAGCAGGGGAGAGGCCATTAAATTACACGGTCCTGGGGGGAGAARGTATCAGAAGTCAGGCCTGAGGCTGCCGGCGAGCGCAGGCGGGTGGGCAGCGATGTGTGTGGCATTCCGGGGGGCTGTAGCGATGGATGCAGCCAGTGGAGGTCACTCGCTTTCTGGGAATTCCCCATTTCTGATGCAAGCGTTTTATTTTTCCTTGACTTGTTTGCGCTGTCTCGTTTCCAAATAATCTGGAGATTAAAGGTGCGTTATCAGCTGAGAACCAAAGCCCGATTTGGATTTGTCAGGACACCAACACGGTGTAAAGTATTTTAAACTTTAATTAATCTGCTGSAAGGACTCTGGGGGGGTCTCTGAAGGCTAGTTTCCAGCCCTGTTCATCAACACAGCTGTAGTGACATGCAAATAGAAGTTGGCAGAGTCGAATTCATCTCTTAATCATTGCCGGGCYGGTGTTTCACGGGGCCCGTTGGCTTTGGCCATTGGGGGGCAGTCGGGCTCTGCRTATCCCCCGCTCCCCCCTTCCTGAACCAGTCCCGAAACAGAAAACTCGGCTATATTCTGAGGAGACATCCCAGAGCTTTGGGGCCGGGAGTGCTCGGACGTGCACAAATGCATTTCTCTTGGAAATCCAAGGACAGTAGCATCATCGCGTGGGTCTGGATTCCTGGGAAACGCACCCACAAACCAGTCAGGATCCAATTGTTTTATCCCACCATGTACTCCCAGGTTTCAAATGGCTTCTGTAAGAAGCTGACTGAAAAATCCAGYGTAATTTTCTGCTCTTCCAGCTGTTTATGCAAGCTTTGTTCCCTTTGCCTGCACCCCCAGCTGTTGCAGAGGCAGCAGTGTTGGGTGGTGATGCCCTGCCAGGTCTGKGGGGGGAGGCACCAACATCTGCCGGCCGAGCACAGAGGGAGCAGTGGATTTTTTGGCACTGCCCCTGCTCTCCTGCACAGCTTTCTCACAGCGCTGTGATGCATCTTTGTGTCAGAGGGTTTTTTTTTTCTTCTGCGTGGTGAATCTAAACAGAGACCAGTCTTACACRCAGCTCGATAGAAATCTTTGTATCCTAAAATAAGRATCATCCTACTCRTAGTGTAAATACTGAAATTCAGTGTTATTACTCCAACTCTGGCAYGATGAATGGGCTTTTTGGTTTATAMTGCCTATGGAACAGTCTGCAKTRTATGTGCTGTAGATACYTGGYTTTCMAGARCAGGTAAATCTCTTGGCATTTAGGATTTSCCAGATTTTTTKGGTGTCTTTTTTGCTTGACACTAAAACGTAGAAGTTCAACAGGTGTTTTTATCAAAAAGACACTCAGGCCACAGTAAATATTTTCTGCTGTTTTCCAGCAAGCCCCCTTGATTAACTTGGCTCTGGTTGTTCTGGTGTTTTCCTCTTAATATAAATTTTCTTTTTAGATGAAAAAATATTTTCTTGAAGCTTTTTCATTTCTTGCTATTGCAGCATCTTCAATACAAAAAGCCTGTTTCATCAGAGAAATGGAGAGATTAAAAGGCCCTTTGAAGTGAAACTGGTTTGGGTTTTTTCTTTGTTAGTGCCTGGGTTCAGTTTGGAATTATTTTAGGGAAGAAGCAAATGTGTAAATGGATATCGGAGGGTCACGACAGGGGATTAGTCGAGTTGCTGGAACTGGCCTGGCTCCATTTATACCCCGAAAATGTCTCGGCGGAGGTCTGTGCCCATTGTGTGCTCCGATTGCTGGGTGACCGCTGCCACAGCCAGGTCTGCCGAGCGCCGAGTGCAGCTGCTGTGCAACGCAGAGGCGCTGCTGCATCTCCCCAGCTTTGCCTAATGCTGCACACCTCGTCCCAGGATTTATTCCCTGCAGCATTTTCTGGACTTGGTCTGGGGGTTTCCCCTCTGGGCCTTTCTGATGTCCTCGCTCCATTTTCGGTATCTGCCGCCAGCTTCCCTGCCGAGCCTTTGGTGACAGCCCATTCCCCATCTGCCTCTCTGGGGATGGCTGTRTTTGGCTTTGGCTCTGCGCTCTTTGGGGAGTGAACCCCATTCCACATGGGGTGGATTAGCCCTGGGAAGATGAACCCCAGGGAATGGATAATGTTTTGTAGAGCACAAACACCTGTCTCCCCACTCTCCTGCTGCTTTGATCTTTCTCTTCATGGGAAGCTGGTGTGGCAGTGRGAATGTCTCCAGATCTTCCTACAGCCAGGTCCTTTCTCCATGAGCCCTTCAGCTGCATCTGGAGGATCAAGCCTGGAGACCTGGTGATCCTCTGCATGATGTTAGCACCAGACCCAAAGCACTGACCCACTGGTGTTTGCTGTGGGTTTGAACCACAGAGAGAAGTAGGACAGATTTGACATATTCAGTTGTCAAAGGGCTTTTGTAAGAAGCTAACTGGAAATCCCAGAAATCCACCAGCTCCCTTCCCAGCAGCAGGGGAAGCAGTGGCTGCTGCTGCCTGTTCTCCTCCTCAGCTACTTGAAATGGCTYCTGTGCTGGCATCCACAGGAGGAACCTCACCAGCTGCAGCTCAGCAACAAGTGCTTTCCTGCTCCACACCCCAGGGAAAACATCGCAGCCTCTGAGCACATTTTTATGGGCTGAGCCTGGGATGTGTGGGGCACCTTCTGGGAAGTGCTGAGGGGCAGGAGGTCTCACCAAAGGGAGCAGGAGCTCAGGGCATTCAGCGTATTGCAGGATCAGTCCAGAGGCTCTAGCTTCAAATCCTCTGGATATCCTGTCGAGTGAATGTCTTTGAAGGAGAAGTGAGAGTGTATGGCAGAGTGGGGTTTTGCTCAGAATAAAAGGGAAAGGCAGTGGGATGGCACACTAAAGGAATGTTGGAGAAACCTTTGAAGCCCAACAGTTTAAACGTTTTTACTGAATAAGGTGATAATGRTTACATTACTGTTACTACTCCACTRATGTTGTCACTTGGTACTGGCACTTCTGCCTTGGTTTGGCATCTTGGTGGAACCTGGGCTGTGCTTAATATTTGGGGAATTTCTGTCTGCAGAGTGGGAGCTTGAGGAGCGGGAATGGGACTTAAACAGTGGGAGCTTTCTCTGGGTTAAAAGCAGAAGTGGCTGCACCACTGGTACTGCAATGTGTGAAACTTTACATGGGGCTTTCCAGCTGCAATCCCAAATTCTGACTGAATACTGAGAGTAACACAAGCAAGGAAACATCCCTGCTTTTTTTTTGTCTCCTTCACAAATGCCTCCACAATAGTGGAATATTTGTAGCTCCCCACTTCAAGCACTTCTGTACTGGCTGCCACGTTTTTAAATGAAACACAGCAAATCACAGACATTTCAGAGAGTCCTGTGGTGACCAAGGCCACAGCTCCAAACTGCACCTTGACATTGGCTTACATTTCACTCGRTGGCCAGTGATGTCTCAAATATTTCCTATTTGATCTTCCTTATTAAAATCAGCTGAAGCTTTATTTTTGGAGCTTCTTGCCRGACTGCTGCTGTAACAGTTAATTCTCCCCCGTTGTTGCCCCTGTGTGATTATTCCCCAGCCCCAACACAATGCATGCACTGCACACAAAAGATCAAAATGATTCCAGCTTGTTTGAGAGATTCAAAAGGGCCTGTGATGCTCCAGACACAAGAGCAGCCATTTAGCAGAGCAGGCTCAGGCTGCACACACATCAAGGTAGATCAAAGGCAGCAGAGGCTGCACATTTCCATGGGGCCGGGGGACAGCACCAGGATCGGGAAGAAGTGCAGGGAGCATCACTGGGGAGGATTTATTTTTGTTTGGATTTTGTCTTTCCATACTTTGCGTGCTCTGAAAGGCTGCAGCARTTTGACAGGGCCCTGCTCCTCTGTACCTTAATTCAGTGCTGGTGTTAATCAGTGCCGTTATCAGGGAATGACTCCAGGAACAGCTGGACCTGTGTCCCTGCTGCACATGAATGTCTCCACCTTTTAGGTGAAGAAGCCTGTGATTAAATAGTTATTTGGGAAAAAAAAAGTAGTTACTGCGTTGTTGTTTTTCTAAACCATTGTAGAGTATTTTTTAAAAGCCACTTAAGTTTTTTTAATTAGAGATGTTGTGCTGATTATTTGAAATCTTTTACAGGACTGAATTGCGGAAGGAGACGGTAACTGCCATAAAATCCAAAGGTAAGAGACAAATATTAAAYTATGGAAAATTAGTTTCTGTCTAGTTTAATTTATATTGTAAAAGCCCTCCCAGAACATTATGACCCGTATAAAGTACAGAGAAGGGAAGACATGGAATTTCCCATGTCTCAACATGGGAGCCAGCAGGGATCTGAGAACAGATTCAGGGCAGAGAGGAGGTGTTTGTGGGGTGGTGTGGAACGAGTCGGGATCTTTGCAGGGTTTAATCAAACAACAGTGAACAGGTGGAGGGAACCTGGAGAAGGACAAGCCTGAGAGTTCCTTGGTCTTCCCTGTGACGGTGCAGCTGGATGGTTTTGTCTCTGGCTAGGCTGGTTTTGTTCTGAATTGGTGTCTGGGCCCTGCATGTTTTCACTTCCCATACATTCTGGTTTTCTGTGTTTCCCCCTGCAAGGCTTGCGGGGCCTGCAGCCAMCCCTAAGGCAGCCTCCTGCCAGTGGGGCAGCACCGGGAGCCAGGAGCTCTTTGCCTGGAGCCCTRCTCTGGGTGCCTGGCAGTCCAGAATGGCCCAGTTTTGGAGGTGTGGCATTGAACTGAGGTGCAGATGCCATCAAAGAGGGCTGCTTTGGTGGCATTTGAAAGGCGCTGGCGTCCCCGGCCTTTTCCTGTCTCGGAGCGGTTCAGTGTGGGAGTGAGTGCGGGACTTGCTCTGATGTTCCCAGCAGAGCACAGCGCTGCAGCCCAGGGGGCCAGGGATGGAGGATGAAAGATGCAGCTGCTGCATTTGTAGATAAGGTGTTTATGGAGCTGGTGCCATCAGAGGCACCRAAGTGCCTCAAAGGCGAGCTGCAGTGTCTATGTGAGTGTGACAGCCTTCCTCCTCCYGCTGTCCCTCTCCCAGCCCTGGGCCTCGTCCCAGGCACTGCRGCTCCCGTGCTGCCTTTGGACAGCCAGCAGCTTCTGGAATGGGTGGGAACAGTGAGCACGGCTCTGTCAGCCGCTGTGGCCCTCACTCCCATGTGCCATGATCCCCGCTCTGTTTTATTCAYGGCTCAAATGAATTCACATCTCCAGAAATCTCTCAGGCACTCTGAACTGCAGTGGGATTYTGCTGCTGTTAGTGAAAGGGTTTTCTAACTCCCAGAGCCTTAACCTAACCTTTAGCCTTAGGTTAAAGCCACCAGATTAGGCTGGCCTGGATCTGATCTGATCTCAAACTGGTGATATTTAAGTGATGTCATTGTTATTTTTGTGCCAACTCTGTGATGTCACAGCCCACTGGTGACTTCACCACAGGGTCAAGTGGTGGGAGAAAATGGAAGAGAATAGACAAAGCTGCRATTCAGGCAGCAGCTGGTCAAGTAAATTGCTTGGAGTGGAAATGTTCTGCCCGGCTACCTTGAGGCACAATGGAGTGGGAGCGCTGAATGAGGCTGCTGTCCGGGCACTGCCGCTCCACTGCTGGACACGGTGCTGGACATGCACACCTGGGGCTGGGGCTCCAAACTCCATTCCCTCAGTCAGCCTCGGGAGAGCTGTGCCGTGGTCATGTCTGGGACCAACTGTGGCATTGCCACAGAAAAGGTTTTACCCCTCTGYTTTCTGTCTCCTCACCCGCAGCGTTCTGGGGTGAATCTGACGACAGCAGCTCCGAGCTCGAGGTTGCTCTGCGCCCACAGACCCACAGTGCAGACTCAGATGACTTTGATGACTTCTACGACTGAGATTCTCCCACTGGCCTTTGGGAAGAAACAAAGCGTATTTTCTTTCACACAGTGAGTGTGCCATGGACTGAAGTGCTGCTTGTCATTTTATGGGGAAAGAAAATTGAAACACCAAATAAACATTAGGGGTCTTTATAAATTGTCTCTCTGTGCTCTCTCTGACCTGCAGTGTTTTTCTKCTCTGACAGGATCCCTGCCCCATGACAGTCCCCTCCTGAGATTTGTGTGCATCCCAATATTGGGACTCCAGCACTTGTCTTCTTGGGAAGAAGACAAGCATTGTGGGTATGCAGGCAGGCGCTGCTGGGGYGGGCTGGCATGTTTGATCTTTATCTCCTTCTGCAACAGATCAAGAAGAAGAAATGCATAAAATGGCCATTTGTAATTCAGCACATTTTGGAACAGAGCAGCATTTACATGTGGCGAGCCCCAGTGCTTTCCTGCTTTTCCCTGCTTTGTGAAATTCGTGCTGGCATTGCTGTGTGGACATCACAGTAATTGGATGACTTTAGGAGCTTCATGCATTTTTAATTTTCTTTTCATTCCTTTTATCTAAAATTAAGTCCATTAAACATGAGATTTTCTTTGGGAGGRAGAAACCAGGGGACTTGTTAAAAAAAAAGCTGTTCATAAATGACAAGTTCAAAAGCAGAAAGCAGCACCCCAATTAAAGCGTGCTGTGCTGCAGACCCACATCTCCCAACATGGGCACCATTCTCCGCACYCATCCCTCACAACCCAGCTAGAAATGGGAACAACATTCAGTTTAATAAGAGGAGCGCGTAGGCTGAGAGCTCCACAGCATGAAATGACTCGCAGAATGTTTGGAACTGAGCAAGAACCCTAGGCACAGCCAGCTGCTGTGGGTTTCAGTCTGTGAGGGTGCAGCCTGGAATGTTCTGGGAATGGGAAAATCAGCTGCACAAGAGATGAGCCTRTGACCGGGGCTGATGTCCTGGGAGGGAGCCGGGCTCAACTAAAGGACTAAAGCCAGACTTTAGTGAGGGCTTTAATGTCCTTTTAACCACACCAACTCCCCKTATCCTGTGGGACTGCTGCTCCCAGAGGAGCCCCTGTGCTGTGGGATGGGTGCWTTGCTTAAGGGATGGGAGGTGCGGGGAGAGGAGGAGCAGTCCAAGGGACCGCAGTTCTCGTGCTTCCCAAAGCAGCCATTCCCACATGCCAGGTGATGCTGTGGGCCATGCCAAGCTGCTGGAGAGGGTGGTGCAGCCCCCAGCTCATCATTGCTATGGCCACCAATGTGTGACCTCAGCAGTCGAGGGCTGGTGCCTGGACCATCGCTCTGTTTATCCCTGTCTCACTCCTACCCATCTGCTAAATGTGAGCTTCCCAGTATCCTGTCACAGACAGGCTGGGGCTACGGGATGGCTCAGGGAACATCAGCCCAAGGCCCTGCTGGAAAAGTCCAGCAGCCCGTGCTGCCAAGGAAMATCACCTGAGCTGTGCAATGTCTCTGCAGCTCTGCTTCTGAGCGACTCTGGGTTGCTGATGTCAGCCCACTTTCTATCTGCCAGCGTGACACCAGTCTGTGGGGCTTTCCGTCACCACAGTCCAGCTCAGCCCCAGACATGCGGCCCGTGACAGGTGACAGATGGCTGCGGAGCCGTGCGCAGGCAATCTCTGCCTCTCGCTGTCGGAGCGATAGTGAGTTCCTCCAGAGCAGGATTTATTATACTCTTATTGTGCACAGACTCATTAGATGCAAAACATCCTGCCAGTCAACTTCCCTGGGCTCCTTCACAGCTGTCAYGCCGGCAGCCCGGGGCTGATGGCAGGTGACGGTGACGGACAGGGGGACTGGAATCAATATGGCCCTAACAGATTTCCATCAGCACGCCACTCATCCAAGGAAAGTGCCCGAGCGGGAAGCCTTCCCTGCTCCTGCCGTGAGTGTGCCGCRCCGCTCTGTGCCGCGTTCACGGATGCACAGTTCGGAGGTGAGACCGGGCTCATGGCCCGGTGTGGCCGCTGATGCTCACACCAACTTTTCAAGGAATTGTCTGTCGCAGTATTCATTTTTCCGGCACTTGTTTACCCAAGTAATTATAAGATAAGATGATCGCGTTTCAGTTGCGTCCGCCAGCCTTCTGTTTTCTTTGGCATTATCAGAAAAACAACGGATTGCCCATCAATACAAACAAAATATTAATGCTAAGCTGCTGTGCTCCCTACAAAATTCCAGGAGTACTACAATAGGAAGCTTCAATCAGACAATGTTTTGTAAGGAGCGGATAAAGGACAATCTTTAGCTGATACAGTAGGTGTGCCACTACAAAGTTGCAGGGAGAAATTTATTCAAGTCACAGATTTTATTGAGAGGAATGACAATGGAAAACAGCTTAACAACAGACAAGTGAGGATAAGAATAATGAGAGACACAATATTGGGTTAATTTGTTCTACAGAGAATTAGCCAGGTACCAAGGTTCCCCTCCGCTCCCCAAATTGGCAGCATTGACTCAACAAGCACTGCTGAGATCTTGTTATTTTTGTTAATGATTCCTGGGCTGCCATTCCCTGTCCTCGGCCCCATGGCTGCCCTGCTAACGGAGCTGGTGTGCGGCGACGGGACACAGCGGAGCAAAACCTGCCTTGTGTTAATCCCATTTAATACCCGACGGTTTAATTCCATTTCGGCACTGTCAAACAGCAATAAATTAACAGTATTTGCTTATGCCACGGGCAGAGCGAGGGGACGGAAGCTCTGTGCCTCGTGCCACTGCCGTGGATCACATGGATCATGTTTTCCCACCAAAAACGTCCCCTCAGAGGGGACAGAGCAGCCATGCCCTGAATTCCTCCTACTGTTGCAAAATAYGGGGTATGTCAGAATTGTCTGAAGCCAGGATGTTCTTTAATGTTAGATCTTTGTATGCTTTCACACAGAGATCTAATTAGTGCATCCTTTACTCAAGGACACCCTTTAAGGATGTAGTAAATCCAGATGTTGATGTCTGTCTATRTGTACATTCATAACTTGGCAAACCACTCAAATTCCACGTATCCTATAGCTGAACCATGTTCATTATAAYGCTGAAACTCACACCTACAGGTCAAAAAGCAGTGCAGATCCTTCCCCTGAGCGTGTGCAGGAATTGGCTGGGGTTACATCACTTTTGTTGGAGTCACTGGTCAATCCTAAAAGAGGGTCTGTGCTTGGGAAGATACCAACTCTTGGCTTCTGGGTATAAATATGGTGTTGGAAGTCCGGTGGTTGTACTGGATTTATGGATACATTGAGTWCCTGGCTTGCACAGTGCTGAAATAAATCATCGATACCTCTCTTAATTATTGGCTTGTTGGACTACACTGCCGTGTGTGTGGTCGCTTTTTATTAAGAAGATGCTAAGGGAGGGTGTTTTTCCTATTACGCTGCTTGTTTAAGGCTAGTTTTGGAGGGAAATCGTTGCACTTTGTGTCTTGGCTGAGCGAAAGGGTGGCAATGGGGCTGTCTCATGGGTCAGCCTTCCCTCAGGCTTGCTTTTCCTCCTRCTTTTCCCYTCTGCATATCACTTTTGYGGCCTCAGGCTTTGCTGTCCCCCTCTGGGTGTCCATTTCTTGCCCCAGGAGCTGCCCGGACGCGTTTTGGGGGTGCTGCGAGGCGGMGGATTCCACACACCCCTCACCTCCCCCCTCAGGCCGCCATTGCGGCGCCCTCAGCCCACACCTAAGATGGCGGCKGCGGCGCCGCGCGCCCGCGTCACGTGATCACCCCCCTTTCCCGGCGTGCCCCGCGCCGCCCCCCGACCCCGGAAGTGCCGCCGGTCTGTGTCGCCGCGGCCCGTCCCGCTCCCGCCATGGGAGTCCCGGCCTTCTTCCGCTGGCTCAGCCGCAAGTACCCTTCCATCATCGTCAACTGCGTCGAGGAGAAGGTGAGCCGGCCGCCCGGTACCGCACGGGCCCGCTGGCGGCCGCCCCGGGGCTCCGCGGGGTGTCGGGGCCGGTTGGCCCTGAGCGGCGGGCGGTGCTGAGTCCGCGATGCTCCCGTGGGCTCTCCCGGGGCCTTTCCAGGGCGGCTCGGTGGGTGCGTTGGTTGGGGCTTTGTTTAGGTTTGTTTGGGGAATTTTCCGGACTTTTAGTTCTGGTGGAAGCGGCCGCTGTTCGGGAGGAGTTATCCCAGCGCCTCGTTCATTCCCGCTCCCGCGTGTGAGCACTCCTGGAAGGAATAGGCACATGGAGAAAGTGGGAATRGGCACTCGGAGCAGGGAATCGGGCTTCTCCTCCAATTTCCCCCCTTCCAGCCGATTTGCTGGAATTCCAGCCCTTCCCGGCACTGTCGATTCTGCTTTCGTGAAACTTCCGGCGGGAAAAGTAGGATTTGTGACAGTGTTTGGTGAAGCTTGGGCTGAGTAGGGAGCAGCGGGAATGCTTTTTGCTGTTTCTTATATGTTTTTTCGTTGTCCCTGCTTTTCGACGACTTTTTTTTTTTTTTTTTTTTTTTTTTGGGAATCAGAAGCCACAGCAAGCTCCGGGGCTTGCTGGAAACAAGAGAGAGAAAACGCAAAGGAAATGGTTAAAAGCAGCTTGAGGATCTGGGAGCTCAGTCTCCCTGTTTCCAGGCACACAGTTCCAGGATCCTGCTTGAGGGATGGGCTCGGGGAAGGCAGTGCCAGCACAGGGAGAGAGGGCAGGAATGGGACTTTGGAGAAGGAGCTGAGCTGTTCCTTGGAGCTGCAGGGGGGTTTTGGGATATCCACAGGTGATCACTTGCTTCCTCAGTCTCTCAGCCTCCTCATGCTTGAGTAATTCACAAGTGTTTCATTTTCTTAMTCATTATTTTATCAGTCTTGCGTTTCTTTATTAGTTGTTCTCCAACTTCCTGCTTTACCCTGGGGCTTTATTTTTTGGAAAACCCCCACAAACCCAGGATGCCACGCTGCATCCAAGACTTASAACAAGTCTGTGCTTGTACTCTTCAACTTTGAGCAGCCTCAGGTGGTTTTATCTCATTGCTGGTGTGTTCTTGTACAGGATAAACATCTCCTGGCCAAACAGGGAGCTGACTATTCCAAAGACACCCTCTAAATTCTGGCTTTCTGTAGCAGCAGAAGGTGGTTTTGGTGAAGGCTCGSCCACAGCCTTGCTGCAGAATCCCACGGGTGCCT